CGCTGTTTTGAGCTACCCATCACACGTTTAATAAAACAGACTTTGCACTGCTCTGAGAAAATACTGGAGAGAACAAGGGAAAGGGGGGAAGACTGATTTTGTTCGTGCTTTTAGGAGGCTCAGTCTGTGATGAGAATTCCTGGGAGGAACTGCCTCTTAAGCTGAGCCTCCTGCAAGGCTGACAAAGGGGAACTTGTTCCAAGTCCAGAACCAAGTTATCCTGTGCCATCTTTTTATCCCCTTAACAGACATTTATTGCCCTTCTTTGTCTGTGGCCTGACTTCTCTGTGACTATTATGTATATGCTCTGCAGGGTTCAACAACATCATTGGTTCCTCACCAACCAAGGAAGGGACCAACCAAAGCTAGGGACTGAACATTCAGCACAAGAGCCAGTGGCGCTATCTTGTATTCAAACTGTAGCACAGGCACTCTCCCTAGAGAGCCCAGTGGCCCCCGGACTGCTTAACTACCTGGCCTTTAAAAGCAAGAGAAACCAGAAGTTTACTCAGGCTTCCCCCCCCCCAACCTCCCCCCCAGCCCCCGACTCCCAGGGCTTCATTGCTTTTATTTGACATTACATAGCACAACCTCCAGGACTCTGTGCTGAGAATGGGTGACATCAATGACATCAAAACAGAAATTTCGTTAGGAACTCTCTTTGAGGAATACACTATTAGTTAATGTTTACGGTTTTTAAAAAGAAGGAACAAGATTACTAACCCTAAAACATTCTTTTTTTTTTTTTTTAATTGCAAGCATCTTTATTTCCTTCACTTAAACAGTATCTCCCCAGGGCCAAGGAGAAGTCTCGGTGTTTGGTAAAGTGTTTGCTATGCAGCCACTGAGGACCTGAGTTCAGATCCCCAGCACCCATATACAAAGCCAAGTGTGGGAGTACAAACCTGTAATCCCAGAATCCAGGGAGTGGAGACAGGAGGATTGCTGGAATTCACTGGTCAGCCAGATTAGTCAAATTGGTGAGCTCTAGGTTCAGTGAGAGACTCAGTTTCCAAAGAACAGGATGGAGAAAGATAGAAGTAGCTGTCTGATGTTGGTCTCTGTTCTCTATGCATGCATGCAGATAGTTTACAGGAATATAAGTCACGTTTGTGTGTGCACACACAGACACACACCTACCTCCCTTGGTATCTTTGTTTTTACTTGTTAAGCGTGAGCTATCCTTTGACTGTTACTTCTAGCTATGCTTGTAACGGTCTAATGGTCATTTCTTGATTTATGTAACTTGCTATCTGATATATATAGGAATTCAATAATTAGCTTTTTAAAAAACCCACTGACATGCATATTTCTTATACTTTATTTACACACATACACACACAGTTTTGATGGTCTTTTTTATTTATGTAAATTTGCTATTGGATATATATATAGAAATTCAATAATTAGCTTGAAAAAATCCACTGATGTGCATATTTCTTATACTTTTCTTACAGACATGTACACACTGGCAATGTTCAGGATGGAGCACAGGGCTCAAACATGCTAAGCAAGAACTTTACATTTCTTCTGTTTTGTTTATTTATTTAGCCAGGGTCTCATTTAGCCAAGACCAGACTCTTTTTTTTTTTTTTTTGGTTTTTCAAGACAGGGTTTCTCTGTAGACCAGGCTAGCCTTGAACTCTCGAACTCAGAAATCCGCCTGCCTCTGCCTCCCAAGTGCTGGGATTAAAGGCGTGCGCCACCACCGCCATGCAAGACCAGACTCTTAACTCTCTAGGTAGCTGAAGATGACCTTGAACTCCCGACCTTCTGCTTTTGCTTCCCCAGTGCTGGGATGATAGGCTTGCATCAACAGGCCTGATTTATGCAGTTCTGAGCATAGCACCCTGGGCTCTTTATGTGCTAGGAAGGCACTATACCAGCTGAGTTACATCCCAGCCTCATCTCTGAGATCAAGCAATGTTCATTTTTTTTTCCTGAATGTTTATTTGGAATAGATAGATATCCAATAAATATGAATTACAATTTACAGTAAGAGACTTTATTAGGACAAGACAATCCCAGGGGCTTATCTTTTGCTTGACCTGATCTCAAGTTTACTAACACTTACTTATAGGTCAAAGAATCAGCACAAGATACTCTCTGAAACAAAGAAGACACTAATTTGACTGCTTGATAAAATCCACCTTTAAAATTATGACATAATCCCTCTTCTGTGAAAAACAGGTCCTCCACCCCCAATCTCAAAGAAAACAATCAAATCAAAGCAAGGTGTTACTGCTTAAGACCCCTTTTGAGTCATCAAGCCTTTAAGTCTGAGACTTGTGAGATCAAAGTAGGTGGATCTCTGAGTTCAAGGCCAGTCTAGTTTACTGAGTTCCAGGACAGCCAGAAACCCCGTCTCAAAAAAAAAAAAAAAAAAAAAAAAAAAGCCCAGTTGATCAATAACATTTATTTCAGTTTGTACCAACTCCTGGGGAGTGAATCTTTGTACCTAAAATTGGATCAACCTCCAATTTCCCCACAAAACACAAATGGGTTTTAAATGAAAACACCCTTTTATTTTCACTTGCTAATCAATTTTCCCAGGGTCAAAGTTCTGGCTGCCACAAATGTTAGCCAGCAGGAGGCTTACTGCAGGCAGGAAGCTAATCAGTAAGAAAAGCTAGCCAGGCAGTGGTGAACTCTCTATGATAGACTAACTGATGGCAAGAGGAAGGAATTCTCCCATCTAAAGAAACAGTCTTAGGTTGGGTGATGGTGTCAGTGCACCCCTTTAACTCCAGCAGTTGGGAGGCAGATCTCTGAGTTCCAGGCCTGCCAGATCTATAGAGTTAACACCAGGGCTACACAGAGAAACCCTGACCTAACAGGTAGAGAGAGAGAGAGAGAGAGAGAGAGAGAGAGAGAGAGAGAGAGAGAGAGAGCGCAACAACAGGAAGGAGAAGAAAAGAAAAGAAGAATCATCTTTAGGGAAGCTGAGTTGGGGACAGATTATGCAGGAGATGGGTAATTACAATCTGGTGACTGTCTACTCGTGTCTGAAGGTTTGTGGCAAAGAACTCACAACTAATCCTAATTGCTGGTCAGAAGATGATTTTCAGTTATGCAAACCTTAAAACACAGATGCCCATTTCTTCATTTATTCTTTTTTTAAAATTTATTTTTATTTTATGTGAATTGGTGTTTTGCCTGCATGTATGTTTGTGTGAGGGTGTTGGATCCCCTGGAACTGGAGTTATAGTTTTGAGCTCCTATGTAGGTGCTGGGAATTGAACTTGGGTCCTCTGGAAGAGCAGCCAGTGCTCTTGACTACTGAGCCATCTCTCCAGCCTCTCGTCTATTCTTTTTTAAATTATTTGTTTGTTTATGGGTTTTCAAGACGGGGCTTCTTTGTGTAACCCTGGTTGTCTTGGAACTCTGGAGACCAGGCTGGCCTTGAACTCGCAGAGATCCATAGGCTTCTGATTCTTCAGTGCTGGAATTAAAGTGTCAACCTTGCCCATCTCAAGTATTTGTCTATTATTCTTTTTTTTTAAATTACCTGTGTGTCTGTGTGGGGGTTTGTGCAGGTGATTGATTGCAAGTGCCCATAGAAGTCAGAGGGGTTGGACATCTTGGAGCTGGAGTTATATATAGTCGTGAGCTGCCTGATGTAGGTGCCGGGAGCTGGGAAGAGCAGCAGGTGCTCTTAACTGCTGAACCATTACTCTAGCACCCCCTCTTGCCAGTGGTTAGTTTGCCAAGGACCGGTTCTTGACATAGTACACACTGTCTGGCTAGAGGGTGTAGCTAGCTGCCCTAGTCCTTTTGGTGATCACCAAATTCAGGGTAATGAAAGAAAACAAGCTTCCCCCAGTCATTGTGAAAAATAAGGTCAGGGCAGGTTAAAACAGCAGAGCAGAGATCTGGCAGCTCACAAGTATTATTATCTTCCTAGGCATAGGGGCCTCCCATGCCTCCCATTCACTGTAACTCATGCCTTGATAGAGGCCAGAGGGTTTTCTAGAGTGGCAGGTGTGTGTGTTGTATACATTTTAAACAATTGAACAAATTTCAAGTCACAACTTATCTAGCCTTTAAAGCAGGAGAGAGGCAGGGCACATGCTTTTAATCCCATCGTGTGGAAGTATGAAGCAGGCAGATCACTTGAATTAAAGGCTTTCCTGGTGGTCAACATAGCGAATTCCAGGCCAGACAGAGCTGTACCGTGAGACTTTGTCTAAAAAAGTAAAACAAAACACAAAAGAATGACTCCCATAGGGGTGTGAATATGGATGGGGTGGGGTGAATGGGACAACGAGTCATGAGGCCTCAACCGTAGACGAAGAACCACAGGTCACCAAGGAGTGCTTAGACTGGGGTAGTCTTCCCCATGAAAGAGAACATCAATACCAGGTTAGCCCTGAAAACATATACGCAAGTGACATACAGACTGAACAGGTTGTATTTACATGTTTAGAAATACACATGCATACATAAAAACTATTTAAAAAAAAAGAGAGAGACTATGAATTTGAAAGGTGTATGGGAAGGTTTGGAGGGAGGAAAGGGAAAGCAGAAACGAAGCTAATTGTAATCTCAAAAAAAAAAAACAACCTAAAAAGAAAAAAAATATTTAAAAAACACACAAGGTTGCTTATCACCAGTTTATTTGCTCCACCCTGCCTGCCCCAGCAATGTCACCTGTTAGCTCATCTTAGGGCAACTAGACCACAGCACTTTTGCGAACACGCCCCCTCTCCCCGTGGAAAGTGACCGGGACCGGGTGTCTCTATCTCGGAGGTTCTAGCTCCCCGGATTCTTGTATCTTTGCAGACTCAGTTCTTCCCTTCATAAACCCAGGGGTTCCAACTTGAAGCTTGTCTTGTGCAACTGTGAGGTTTAGGGGACATCCAGGAAGGCGGGGCGGAGGGGCGGGGAGAGAGCAATGACGCAAGAGGCTCGGGCCAATGAGAACACCTCGCGGCGCGGGCAGAGTCGTCCGGCCATAAAAAGAGAGGCGCGGCTGGGGCTTCCCAGCTAGTGGCTGCCCTAGACTCTTAGAGTATCTCTGTGCTGAACCCGTCCGGGTGACAGCTACAGGTCACAGCCGCCAGTCACAGCCGCCGGCTAAGCTGAGCCGCAGCGCTTGTTAGCACCCTAGGGTGTCTCGGGAGCAGTCGTGCCGGGTCCATGGAGAAGCCGCGAGGAGTCAGGTGCACCAATGGGTTCCCCGAGCGGGAGCTGCCGCGGCCCGGGGCCAGCCGGCCTGCCGAGAAGTCCCGGCCGCTGGAGGCCAAGGGCGCACAGCCCGCCGACGCCTGGAAGGCAGAGCGGCCCCGTAGCGAGGAGGAAAACGAGCTGAACCTCCCCAACCTGGCGGCCGCTTACTCGTCTATACTGCGCTCGCTGGGCGAGGACCCCCAGCGGCAGGGGCTGCTCAAGACGCCCTGGAGGGCGGCCACCGCCATGCAGTTCTTCACCAAGGGATACCAGGAGACCATCTCAGGTCGGTGCGGGCGCCAGGGTGTGCTGGGCTCCGGGAGGCGGCTTCAGGAAGCGGGGGCAGCTCCAGGAACTTTCCCGAGTTGCTTCACTTTTGGCGCAGGGAGCCAAGTAGTCTCGACTCAGCCCCAGCTGTGGCCCTGGAGCCTCCACCTGGCCGGGGCGAGGGCCCTTCCTGGTCCTGTGACTGGCACTCAGGGCTCTGGGGAGGTGGGGCCCGCGAATGCATAGCCACTCACTACACTGAACTCCCGGGAGGGAAGCAATGCGCGACCCTCTTATGCCAGTTCCCAGAGAGCGATAAGGCACGTGCAGCACCCACCTTCCCCACATAAGGATCCAGTGGACACTTGTTGAAGGGACGCGACTTGGGTCAGTCTGAGAACCAGCGCTTTTGGGTGAAGGCAGGTTTCCGTTACACCCAGTGAGCCTAGTAAAGCTAGGTGCTTGTAATGGGTTCTTCAGAGAGTTGGAATTCGCATCCAACTACTCTAGCTTAGAATTTTACCAAAATTTGGCACAATTCTGGTTTCGGACCTATACGCAGTTTGAAGTGTGGATTTTTCTTGATAGTGTTATTGCTGAAAGCCTTTAATATTTGCTTCCTCAAGGAATAAAGGGACCCCCTGCTGCTACTCTAAGGGTGGAGGGTCACTGGACCCTGGATTCCGCTGTGCTTGTGTGTCCCCCCCCCCCCAACTTCCCACCCCCGCTTAAAATTGGCAGTCTGAGCCTGCTGGCAGCAAATCTTAACCAGCCAGTGATGAGGAGGTAGTTGCTGTGGGTACAGAGGCAGGGTGAAGAGGAAGTGGAGAATGACCAGGGCCATGCTGCCTATTTGGTAAAGCAGTGTTGGCCTTTATAAAACGAGAAGCTCTGGTTCCTTTGGCTGTGTTCAAAGGCCTTATTTCCAGTTTACATCTGGGCATCTCTGTGACGTGTTTCTTTGCCTCCACCATTACTCACGGAAAAAACGGTGCTGCTTTGAAAGGTAGTAATCCTGGCTGTTCCTGTCAGGCATTGGGAGCACGAGAACCCGTCCTAGAAAGGTCCAAGCCTTCCTCCACCTCAAAGGAAGGGTGGGAGATCAGAGCTTGAGATAGGTGGGGCTCCAAAGGAAGTGAAACTACTTCCTAATAATTGAAGGAAGTGGACCCAGATCTAGTTCTGAGAGTCTGGGTTTTTACATTTGATGGTGAAAGTTTGGACCTCAAAAGCAGAGTTTGAAAATGCAAAGACTGAAGAACAATCACTGAGATTTTTCTTTTTCTTTTTTTGGCTTTTTCGAGACAGGGTTTCTCTGTATAGCCCTGGCTGTCCTGGAACTTACTATGTAGACCAGGCTGGCCTCAAACCACTGAGATTTTTCTGAGAGTTCAGTATCTAGGAGTGTTCGTGTGTTTGACTGTGTGCTGTCTAGGATGTAACCAGGAGGAGTATCTTGACTGCGCCTTGTTCATTCTGCCTCTTGTAGACATAAAAGGAGGTCCTCAGTGGCATCCTTCAGTTGAGCCCCTCCCTTCTGCGGCTCTCATTGCTCCACGGGAGAGGAGCTTCTAGCCTGCTATTTGAAAACTGATTGCCATAGGCTTACTCAGGAGCCGAGACTCAGCTAAAGAACCCTAGGGGCTTCAAAAGTATCCCCCATTCCAATTTATTCATAAAAAGTCCATTGACCTGGAGACAGAAGATCTGACTGTCAGCTGAGGAAGACAGGGCTAGTGAGTGACAGCTCAATAGGTATGGCGTTTCCTTTTCCACTGATAGAAATGTTCTGGAAGTAGACAGAGGTGATAGTTACACAGCACTGTGATTACTATTGAACTGTACACTTTACAAATGGTTAAAATGAAGACTTTTATAGGTTTTTACCACAATAAAAATCATTGGCTCCTTGAACATTTTTGATCGCCATCAATTGAATTTTTTTTAAATATAGCATTGGCTGGCATGGAGTCAGACATGTAGGTAGATCAGACTTGTCTAGAACAGAGATCTGCCTGCCTCTGCCTCTGGAATGCAGAGATTAAAGGTGTGAGTGCCCAAGGCAGCCTCAATTGAATGGCCTTGGGTAACCCTGAACGTTGAGATTATGCATTCTTTTATCCACACAATGAGGAAGCTGAGCAGGAGTTTATACTCGGTGGGAACCAGGTAGTCTAGCCACTGGTTGGTAGTTACTTCCTCATGTTGCAATAGCAGTAGATGAATCAGTGCACTTTTCTACCAAGCACGTGGACAGAGAGAGATGTGGACAAGGTAAGAACAACTTGTCACATGTCACAATAAAGTATAGTAAAGATAAATGTTTAATAAACTAATTTTTATATAACCTGTATTTACTTTTATTTCATATGCCTACATGTATGTCTATGAGGGATTGGATTTCATATGCCTACATGTATGAGGGATTGAATCTCTTGGAATTGAAGTTACAGTTGTGAGCTGCCACATGGGTGCTGGGAATAGAACCCAGGTCCTCTGGAAGAATACCCAGTGCTCTTAACCACTGAGCCATCTCTCTAGCCCCAAATGGTTAGTTTTAAATATATATATATATATATTTAATATATATATATATATATTTTGTTTTTTGTTTTTTTCAAGACAGTTTCTCTGTAAAGCCCTGGCTGTCCTGGAATTCACTCTGCAGACCAGGCTGGCCTCGAACTCAGAAATCCACCTGCCTCTGCCTCCCAAGTGCTGAGATTAAAGGCGTGCACCACCACTGCTCTGCAAAATACAATGTTTTTATTAGTTCTTCAAGAATTCCATTCATACCCAAGTGGTAGCAGCAGCACACACCTTTAATCCTGTCAATCAGAGGTTTGAGAAGCTCAGCCTGGTCTAGGGAGTGAGTTCCAAAGACAGCCAGGGCTACACATAGAAACCCTGTCTCAAAAAATTCCATTCATGTATATATACAAGGTATTTAGATCAAATTCACCCCAACCCCTCCTAATTCTCTTTTATCCTCCGGCCCCCACTTTCCCTTCCTGCCCTCTCTTTCCCAACTTTCTGCCTTTTAAATTTTATATTCATTTTTTAGTAAATTTATATTTACAAATTTAAATTTATGAAACCTATGGCGTCCATATACTCATGGGCATCCACTGGACTGTTTGGCTGCTGGGAGTCACACCCTTAAACTGACTCTTCCTCCCCCAGAGGCCATCAACTGAGATAGAGCCTTAGGAGAGGGGCTTGTGAGCCACCCCATCCATGTTGGATTCTTGACAAATAGCCATACCTATTTTTTCCAAAAAAGTAACAATTTCCTAGTAATTTCCAAATTTTTTTTATCTTACATGTATGAATGTTTTGCCTTCCTGTGTTTATGCACATATTTACAGGGGCCCTCAGAGGCTAGAGGAAGGCATTAATTAGATCCCTTGGAACTGGAGTTACAGACATGTGAACCAACATGTGGGTGCTACCACTCTACCGGATCCTATGCGTGAGAGCTGAGCCAGGCCTTGAGAGCCTGAGCCTGATTTCTTTTAAAAGCTTGTGGACAAACAGGGATTTATAGTTTGTATGCCTGGTGCTTTATTTATTAATTCCTTGTTGACTTATGGCAGAAATTATTTACTTATTTAATACTCTCCATGCTTTCCTTTCTCTTCTGGCTTCTTTTCAGTTCATTTCTTGCCCCTGGAGAGTTTGTCATTTTTCCACCTCCTTCCCTGTCACACCTCTCTCCTCCTTCCAGAACCTGCCTTTCTGTGGGAGTGACTCTGGCCATCTGTGATAGGGCTGCCTGCATACTAAGTCTCCCTCTGGCTGTCACTACTGAGCTATAGCTTGTGGGCTAGCAGTTTTCCTCAGGACATATCCTAGGACTCTTGGCATCTCTAACCTCTTGGTCTCCAAGGCAATCTAGGCTTCGTCTTCACAGCTTTACACGGTACCTTTCAGCCTCATTGCAGGGACACCCCTTCCACACACCTGGCCTCAGTGGCTTTTCTTTGTTGTGGAGGGCAATTCCATAACCCCTTCTATCATTGAATCAAAACCACAACCATGTGGCTGAAGGTACCAAGTTCTGCTTTCTGGGGCTGGAACATGGCCCACTCTTTTAATACCATCTTCACCAACTTTCTGTATTCAATGGTTTCCTCCACTGTCTAGTTTGCCTGTTCTGGAACCTGTTCTGTACACCAGGCTGACCTTGAACTCAAAGATTTGCATGCCTCTGGGATTAAAGGTGTGTGCTACTATGCCTTGACCTAAGCTATTCTTTAATTCCTATTCATCTGAGTGGGGTCTTCCCACAGACTTCCAACTTGTAGTGGCACAGGATATAATTACCATTCCAAAACGATGGAAAGGAGTGTAGTGAGGAAACACTGGACTGGAGCTAGACCCAAACCAGTTGGACAAACTCAAAAATACATCTCCATGTCTGACATCAAAATGCTTTTTGGATCTCTAATTCCTTTTAGCTTTGTTGACTGTAATATACTTCTTCCTCTTGGAAGAATGGGATCTGTTTTTTTATTTTGATTTTAAAGGGGATTACAGTTATGGGATTTCATGAATCTCAGAAGAGACTTTGAACTTTGGACTTTTAAACACCATTGAAACTGAGACTATGGGGACTTTTAAAGTTGGACTACGTACATTTTGCATATGCTACAAGCCTCGGGGGGCCAGGGAGTGGAATGTGGTGGCTCATAGACTCGTGTTTGAATGCTTGACCCATAGGATGGCACTATTAAGAGGCATGGCCTTGTTGGAGGAAGTGTATCACTATGGGGCAGGCATTGAGGCCTTCCATGCTCAAGCTCTGCCCAGTGTGATAGTCTTCTGCCTGCAAATCAAGATGTAGAACTCTTGGCTTTTCCAGCACCATGTCTTCCTGCATACTTCCATGTTTCCTGGAATGACAATAATGGACTAAACTGCTGAAACTGTAAGCCAGCCCCAGTGAAATGTTTCTCTATAAATAGGAATTGCTGTGGTCCTGGTGTCTTTGCAGCAGTAAAACCCTAATACAATTGA